GGAATCAAATGTTTCAGTTGTTGAATAAGCAAAGTTTTGCTAACCTTCATGGCAGCATATTCAGTTTATGTACTGGTATGCCAGGTTTTTGCTTCTCTTGGTATGTGTAGCAGTAGAGCAGCAGTCATTTGAAGTAGCACACTTAGAAAGACTGGATTGGAATTGCTCCAGGAAGGCTTCTCACATCAGTGTTATTGGTGATAGTGCTGCTGCAGGTGAAATTGATTGCAAAATATTTTGATTTCTAATGCGAGTCACTCATTTGTACTTGTGGGAATGAGACTTTGAAAACTGCAGGAAATGTGTGAAGCTTTATTGAAACACTTGGTGTGTGATAAGAGAAGGTACCTGTTACAATCCTGTAGTGTGTAGATATGGCATGAAAAATATTTCATGAGCAGGGTGATAATTAAGGTCTGTTTTTTCAATCGTGCCTGCGCTCTGGTTTTGCATGGCCTTAGTGATGTGGCACTAAATGGAGGTAAAGCTTACCTGTGTGAGCTCTAGAAAGTTTTTTGGGATGTAAAGGCTGAAGTCCTGCTGTGATTGCACTAGGGAGGAATGCATTTGGTGTGACCAATCCTTTCGGACATGCTCTATTGCCAGTTCTGTTGCTGAATATTCCTTTTACTACTGAATTTCCTAAGAATGCATAGAAAATACATTTTGCTGCAGAGCTGTTTACAGATATCCAGTGGAAGAAACAAGCAGCACAAGCACAGAAAACTCAACAGAGAGCAGGAGGGTGATGGGGTTATGATACATCTGTGTGGCATAAATGAGCCTCTTCAGCTAGATGCTGTTCTCAGGTTAACTTTTGTGTCATGCTGGTCTCCTGGGTGCTGGACCCTTGGGTGCTGGCTGATGTACTGTTGTATCACTACTTTTTTTTTTTTTTTTTTTCCCAGTACTGCAAGAGCCAAGATTAAGTAGCCTTTAACTGAGATCACAGGTTTTAAGAAGAAGGCATGAAAGGCAGGCACAGCAGTTTATGGTTTGGGCTTCCTCTTTCATCAGCTTTGTAATTGAAAAGTAACTGTAATTGTTATCCTAGCATAAAAGATTGAAATAATGAGTAAATTTTTATATATTCATCTGGGCTCCTAGGTGAATATTCCTTATTCTGCTTCGGAAGGTGAAAACAAAACATCCAATTTACCTTTCTCGCTAAGCAGTTTCCAGATACGCTATGTGGGTAATACAAAGCGTCAGCAGGGGTGCAGACACCGTGATTTTTCTCTTGGCTGTGCACATAAGCAAAGCTCTGCAGTGTGCGTGTAGTAGCTGTCTCTGTGTGAATACTGTATTAGCCTGGAAAACCTTGGAGCCTGCTAACTATGCCTTGCAGCTAGTTGCTGTGGCAGCAGGTTGCTTAGTAACAGCTTTTGTTCTTTGGTTGAAATCATCTGGTCTCTCTTAAATTTCACTTTCTGGGAGGTCAGAAGTTGTTCCTCAGATGAAAGCAGGAGAGCTCTTCAAAGGAGATGCAAAAACATTGGTGTTTGGTGAAGTGTTCTTTATTTGTGGTGGTAGAAAGAAGACAACTCCCTCATCTTCTTTACTTAGATGAAACTGGAGTTAGCATCACACCAACAGATACAGCAGTTCTTGGAAACAGGGTGGCTGTAGGAGTTCAGGGGAATTTGTCTGCCATGCAACCATTAGTCCCACTAAGGGCAGTAGGCAAATAGTAACAGCTTAAAACTCCCATAACCTAGAAAATATCTGAACTTAAAATAAGGCCTTGATTTACTGTTCTCCAGCAGGTCCACTTCTAAGCCTCCATTGACTTGGTCCTGGTCTATACTGGAGTCCCTTATGAATCAGAATTTAAAGAATGACAACCATTGGTTTCAGAAGAGGTTTTTTTGGATATTTATGGATGTGCTTGACAAGATCTCATGGGAGGCAGCCTTGGAGGGCAGAGAGCACAAGTACTCCGGTGTATAGCAAATCGAATGTGACAGAATGCTGTGACGTGTGGAATCAAACTCTATAACCCACGTAAGGTTATAAAGTAGGTATGTTTATTACGGCACTGGGTGCGAGGGTGTTATCTCCTAGCTCACACAAACAAGACAAGCAGTAGGTACATATTTAAAGACATAATGTACACGTATTCATTACATTCCGAGAAAACGGGCCAGAATTTCAAGAAATCATTAACATGTTGTCCCACCCTCTTGAGCGAGTGTCTTAAAAATGTGGGGGGGGTCTCTGGTAGTCAGTGGATGAAGGCTAGTAGCTTACCTTGCTGTGAACTTCCAACCTTTTAAGGGAGGTAGCCCGAAGCAGCTCATATTGGTGTTGTGTTGAGCTGAGTCATCTCTTTCACTGTCCTATCTTCAACAACAGGGCGTCTATTCTTTCTTATCATTGTTTAGCAGTGAGTTTTCACAGACTCTGCATTCTCTTCTTGAGCTTACGTGTATGCAGGCATCTCGTCCTTCAGTTTGTATCCACTCAAGCTACGGGAAAAGGCTGTTCTCACTATATGGGAAAGCTGTTCTCATGATTCAGCTGGTGTGGATCAGCAGGAACATCTGACTGACCTCAGATACACAAAGAAAGTACATGGAGGCAGATACTTTCTAGGAGAGACACAGAGACAGCACCAGGATTACAGTGATGGAGCTGGGAAGGCAAAGCTCAGCTGGTGCTTAAACTAGCACAGGAAGGGCTTCTGTGGCATCAAGACTAAATGTGGGCCTACTGTTCCATTGGGCCAGAGGCAAGTGAAAATTGAAAGTGTTTAGTGCCTTTTATGCCTTGGCTTTCACCAGTCTGTTCTCAGGCCTCCCAGGTTTCAGAACCGACTAACAGTCTATGATAGTATATCATTACCCACAGCAGAGATGGACAGTAGCTCTCTTGCTCATTGAACATACAGCAACCCCTGACATCTGATGTTACTATGAGGCAAAAAGGCAAGTGTTTGCCTTGTTTTCAGGGTAGGAAAGAGTGAGTATCATGGGAGCTGCAGGCTTGATTACCCTCACCCTGGTGACTGGGAAGGCAGTGGAGTGAATCCTCCTGGAAGACATGCAAGCATGTAAGGTACAAGATGTCTGTATGCGTGTAGTATGTATCCAGTAGATCCACTACTGGATTTACTGAAGGCAAATAGTGCCTGACCAATCCAGTCACCTTCTGTGATGAGATGGCTGGTGCTGTTGACAAGAAGAAAATGGTGAATAGTTTTTTAAGTTTGACTTTAGCAAGGCCTTTGGTGTGATCTTCTGTAGTATTCTTATGACCAAATTGGTGAGGTGTGGACTGAGTATGTATGTGAGCTGTATGGTGTGTGGAAAACTAGCTCAGATATTTGTGATCTGTGACATAAAGTTCAAGCAATAGCCATCAAATTTGCACAGATAATTAGTGACATCCCTCAAGGGATATCATGGACAATAGTATTTACTATCATTACTAACCACCTGGATGATGGATTGAGTGCAGCTTCAGCCGTTCTATGAGTAAAATCAAACTCTGGGGAGTGATTGGTACACCCGTAAAAAGAGCCGCTTGTTAGAGGGGTCTGGGCATGCTGAAGAAATGGCACAGGAATATGAATTTCAGTAAAGGCAAGTGTAGAGAGCTGTGCCTAGAATGGAATAACCCTGTACACCAGTTCCTGGTTGGAACACCAGAAAGTACCTTGCAGAAGGTGGTGGACAAGCTGAACCTCAGTCCGTATTGTCCTCTTCTTGCAAAGGTCAGCAGTGTCCTGGACTGCATTAGGAAGGACATGGCTACAGCTGCAGAGCTTTGTCCAGTTTCGTGTTCCATGGTGCAAAGAAGTGTATTGAATACAAGAGTGAATCCAAGGAAGAGCTTCAAAGATGGCCATGGTGGATATTACTGCTACCTAGAGCTTTCTGATGGGAGGGTGTAGAGGAGCTGAAGCCATGTGTTTTTTGGAGATGAATAGTGAAATGGCAGAGGGCTACACAGGGCAGTGGAGGGAGGGACACCAGAAAAGAAGAAGCAGGGTCTGAAGGGCAGCTGTAGTTGGATGAAATTAACAGGAAAAAAAACAAACCCAAACAATAAAAAATAAATAAATAGATAAATAAAAATGGAGAGGCTGACTTGGATTGTTTTAAAGCTATTTTTTTCCCATAAACTTTAGAATTACTTTACAAAGCATTTCTTGTCCTTGTGGTAGATGAACAGTTCTCGTTTGAGGTTTGTAAGGTTATGCTAATTGACTTCAGCTTCAACACATCAATGGCAAATCAGAATACAAAGAGTTCATCACCACTGGACTGGCCAGTGAAAGTACTGCCCTGCTCATCCTCCCTGTGACGCTGTTGTGGTAGGGATATGCACTTGGGAGATATAAATTTCTAAGACATGCCTGCTTGTCATTGAAGAGATCACAGAGCATTCTTCATGCATGGAAATGTCAAACGTCTTGACCAAGTTATCACATGTTTGGTTGCATCTTGGCAGCGTAGGACATGCCAGCAGTTACATCAGGGAAGACAAGATAAATGTTCTTTGCTTTCTGTCTAAGAATATTTTGGCTGTGTTGCTGTGCAGTTAATGGCCGTATGGCAGCCCAGGACTGGTTGTATTGCATACTCTCAGAAAGTCAGTTGGCTTTATATAAAACTCTGCTGGATTTGCAGAACCTTTTGGCTTCTTTCCAGAAAGAAAGCTATTATATAAATAGAAAAATGTCTCACTTTTAAAGTCTGCCATCCATTCATGGAAAGGAAGGACTCTGTGATGGGGATGTGATATGCTAGCTATTAAATACAGGTCTTAAGACAAGTTCTGTGATGTGATGAACCAATTGAACACATTACAAGGGGATTTGAGTGAACTCAGTAGCCTATTGCATCACAATTCTGTTAGCTACTTGCTGACATCTGAATAAGGTTTGGCTTTATGAAAGCAGAGTTAAAGAATAATCCATCTTCCCAACTATCCCCCCCAGAGCTGCTTCTCTCTCTTTTAAATGAAAAAAAAATGTGTTTTTCTTTTTTCCTCAGATTAACAGAATGTTTGGGACTGTAGTGGTTGGAGTTGGAATTGCTGGGTTAGCACGGATTCGAGATTTGATGAATCCAATGCCTTCTAGCCCTTCAGAGCATCTGAAGCTCCTTGGATTTGTATCCAGGTTAGACATTTCTTCTTAATGTGTAATGTATGTATTTAATGTTTTCTTCTGGTGTACGTGCCTTTTAATATGGAGGACTATAATTTGGTAGGGACAGGGAGTGAATATCAGAAGTTTTATAATTCTCTTAATGCTGTCTGTAAAGGGAAAATGAATGCAACTGTGTCTGTCATTCTGAGTGTCAGCTAGGAAACGAGTACAGAAAGCTTTGCATGGGAGAACAAATAAGCTACCTTATCAAGATACCTTGCAGAAGTGACTGTCTTTAAAATAAAGGGACCTCGCCACAGAATTTGTGTGATAAATGCAGTTCTGTCTGGGTTAAATCTTCTTAGGTTCAGGATGTACAGGCGTACAATATTTATACTAATGAACTAAAGTCTGTATGAAACTTTCAGAAATGTTTAAAAAGCATAATGTTTACAAATTTTGAAAGTGTATTGAAGATGAAGTTTTATGAAAATATTTGTTGTAAAGCTGTTCACACTGCAATTTCATCATTAAGTTCTTATTTTTTTTTAAACCAGATACTGTAACTTTAAAGAAACTCCCATAATTTAGTACTTACAGTAAGGCTTTCAGAGAGCAATATTATTTTTTCTTGCCATACTGGAGGAACAGAAATTTAGTGGGACTATTATGTGTATACTTCCTTCTTAGTATTCCTGCTAGACTCTCTGCTCCATAACAATAAAGCGTGAAGGTTTTAAATAGTTACAGGGTACATGCGTGGGTCTCAGACTGTGAATGTATTTTTTCCAGCTATATTTAAGTCATGTAGCCAGGTTGTTTGAGACTGAAAGGACTCAGTAGGTCATCCAGTTTATCTCCCTGCCAAATGCAGTCCTGGTTCTCTGATGCCTAGGGCTGCAGCTAGTCTGGAACCATACTAAAGATAGGATTTCCACTACTTCTTTTGAGAAACAATTCTGTTGAAATGCACAGTTCACAGGCAGCTTGCTTGTATATATGTACTGCCTTTCTCTTTGCATTCCAATCACACACAAGCATTGCCTTTCTTTTCAAGTCCTGATTATGGCCTATCCTCATCCCCAGTGTCATCTACCATAACACAGCCAAGCTGTATGCTCTATTTACTAATGTGAGGGGCATTTGCTGTTGGTGCATGTTTTGTTTTCGGGTGGAGACATGCTCAGTGTGTTGGCCAAGAGAGCCTTTGCCTTAGTGCTGGCATGGTGCATGTGTTGCAGGTCACAAGCCATCACAGCCAAGTGTTTGTTTTGTCCGTTGCATTGCATGTGGTCCTGCCAACTCAGGTGCTTTTGACCAACACTGGGGTGTAGTTCTCCTGCAGGAACACTGTCCTCCCTCAAATTACTCTTATAAAACTGCTCCTTTGATATGATGCTTCTGAAAATATGTTTCAACAGGTGGATGGTGTCTATACTGATATCACCACCTGCAAATGAACCCATCTGTTTTGTTCTTTTTTGTGTTCCACTTCTGTCTGTAAATACTTTGCCCTTCCTGGATCACAAACTTCCTTTGCTCTGCCTTCGTTTATCTCAGTGGTCCGTAGCAACAGTTTCTAAGTGCTGCTGCAGAACATGCAATTGGGAAGAAAGGACTGAAATAATTATGCTCTGGTTTTATTTATGCAAAATACACAGGAGAAGTTTTGGCAGTATTAATGAGGCCAAGCAGATTAGCCTAGAAGATGCTCTAAGAAGCAAAGAGATTCACGCAGCCTTTATCAGCACAGAGAACAAAAGCCATGAAGAAACCATCAGGTATTTTGTATTGCTTTTTCTGTTGTTTTCCCTTGCCTCCACCTTCCATATTAATTTAGGAGCATAAAGAGTCAATGTAAAGCTGTTGCAGTTGAGCATGTGGACACCTGAGTAGAGACAGAAACCTGAAGTAATGACTGTGACTTCCCTGAAGTACCACATAAGCTGTGTAACAGGTTCATAGAACCATATAATAACCTGAGTTGAAAAGGACCTCAAAGATCATCTCGTTTCAACCCCCTTGCTGTGGGCAATGTTGCCAGCCACTAGAACAGGCTGCCCAGAGCCACATCCAGCCTGGCCTTGAATGCCTGCAGGGATGGGGCATCCACAGCCTCCTTGGGCAACCTGTTCCAGTGCCTCACCACCCTCTGGGTGAAAAACTTCCTCCTCATATCCAACCTAAACCTCCCCTGTCTCACTTTAAAACCATTCTCCCTTGTCCTGTCACTATCCACCCTCGTAAGCAGCCATTCCCCCTCCTGTTTATACGCTTCCTTCAAGTACTGGAAGGCCACAATGAGGTCTCCCCGCAGCCTTCTCTTCTCCAAGCTAAACAATCCCAGTTCCCTCAGCCTTTCCTCATGGAGAGCTGCTCCAGCCCTCTGACCATCTCAGTGCCCTCCTCTGGACCCGCTCCCAGAGCTCCACGTCCTTCCTGTGCTGGGGGCCCCAGGCCTGGACACAGTGCTGCAGATGGGGCCTCACAAGAGCCGAGCAGAGGGGGACAATCACCTCCCTCTCCCTGCTGGCCACCCCTTTTTTCATGCAGCCCAGCACACAGTTGGCCTTCCGGGCTGCAGGCGCACACTGCTGGCTCATGTCAATGAGAATCAGCTGGCACGGTGAGAAATGATTATGACAGTATACTTTTTAAAGACTGATCTTGTGTCCCTTTCAGAATGTTTTTAGAAGCTGGGAAACATGTCCTTGTTGAGTACCCCATGGCTTTGTCTGCTAAGGTAGCCCATGAGCTCTGGGAGATGGCTGAGCAAAAAGGTAATGGAATTTCTCTCAGTGCTGCAAACAGCATTACCTACTGAATAGCACTAAAGGCATCAAACCCAAAGGCAGGACCCTCCAGTCTACTATTAATTACAGTATGCAAGGGTGTATGCCTGTCTCAGAGATGTCAGCCTAGGATTTAAGATGTGTGCCAATGGGGAAATAAAGACACAGAAGTCAAAGCTAAGGGTAAGGTGTGTTTAACCTCACTAAAGGTCAGCTTCTGGTACAGATAGTGCTATTAAAGAGAAGTTCTGTCACAGTGATAGTAGGACATTTAATAAACATAGCCTTAGGACAATGCACTTCCCTGTCTTTTCCCTGAAAATAAAGCTGGAAACAGCTCCTCTAGCTTCTAGTATTTGTGACTTACTGGTCGCACACAGGTGCTTATGCTTTTGCAGTCCAGCAAGACATCTCAATTTGAAAGAAAATGTGTCCCCAGACAAGATGTTTTTGACTGCAGAAAGCTTGTGGCCCCATCCCTGCAGTACCATGGATGAGAAGCAGCAGTTCAGCTGTTCAGCTGAGGCCAGTAAACGGACTCAAGAAAAAGAACAGTGCTGGCAGAATCAGAGTGCAAATCATTTGGATAGGCTGCACTGTTTATATTACCACTTTTTAAAAACATCCTTTGTGACTTTTGTCCTAAAATACTGAAGGTATAGGATTTCTGCTTTGTGCTTTCCTTATTCCGACACCAACTTGCTGCCTTGTTGCTAGCAAAATGGGTTCCCATTGAACAAAATTTATACCTCTGCTCTTAAAGCAGCAGCAGCCACTTTCAGCAGCTTAAATTGACTCCCTGAAAACCTACAAAAAAAAAAAAAAAAAGATACTGAATGAGATCCAGATTTAATTTTTATTAGATGGCATTTTTTTCCCAGAGTAGCCCAATTAATTACAGTGGAAGGGTAGTTTTTATCATATTATTACAATCTGGGTCTAAGTATTGAGCTATGTTTTTTTTTGCTTCATCTTCTTTCCTACTACTCTGGGAAGAAGAATGCAGAAAGGGATGCATGAGGGAAAAGAGGACAAGAATTCACCCATCTTTTACTTTGAAGTCTGATTTTTCAGCTTTAATTGGATATTGGGTTTCATCGCAGAGTTTCTGTTGAACATAGTGGATACTGTTACTGTAGTCACTGCATTCGTTATCTCCTGAAAATCACAAACCCAAACAGATGCCTCAACGTAGGGCCTGCATTTTCTTTTCCTCGTAACAAAATTTTGCAAGCCATTTGTGAGAGCATTTTTAAGCGAGCTCCCACTGGTGGGTAGTGAAGCCTTTACTGCTTAGATATGTTTCATACAGAAAGTTCTTATTTAATCTGGCCTGATTTGTTTGTTTATTTGTTAATGACAGGTAAAGTCCTCCATGTGGAGCATATTGAACTTCTGACTGAAGAATACAAGCAGCTGAAAAAGGAGGTGGCTGGGAAAGACCTAGTGAAGGGAACGTTACATTTCACAGGTCAGTAGTTGTGTGGAAATTTAAGTTCAGCCAGACTTGTTGGCTTGCACCACAGGGATCCAGCCCTTCCAGATGACAGTCTGCCTATAAATTGATTTGACACACAAATATCACCTCTTGAGATTTCCTTTAAATTACAGAAGGGTCTGGAAAACACTTTCCTTACTAGTTGTCTTCTGTGACCTATTTTTTACTCTCTTTCTACTACCACTTGTGAAGAAAGCAAGCCTGTACCTTTCTTCACCTCTCCTGTACTTTGGTGGTATCAACTAGCTCCCTCATTCTAATACCAAATGAGTTCTGAGGACATGTCCACATTTCCAATGGAGACTTTTAGCCTTCCACACTAGTGATCGAAGAGATGGGAGAGATTTTCGTGCATTTCTTTCTCTCTGTTGTATATTCACGTGTGAATCCACATACACCCTTCTGTCCTCAGCACATCTTTAAGGCTTATTGCATGTGTACTTTGTGCAGTGTTCTCTGTCATAGCACTCCAACAAATCCATTTCAAGGTCAGTCATGTTTGCTGACTTGCAACTCAGTTCATCCACTGATGGCCTTTCCACACCCTGCTTTCTAAGCCTGCAATACTGCAATTTCTTCAGCCTTTACTGTGCAGCGCTCATTATTATTTTCCATTTCTCAAGTCTTTCTGTTGCTATTGCACCAGGCAGTGTCCTCGATGAAACAAAAGCAGGGTTCCCAGCTTTCAGTGGAATTGCCCGACTGACTTGGCTGATTGACCTCTTTGGAGACCTCACTGTTACCTCTGCCACCAGAGAAGAGCAGAAGGATAAGAATTATTCTAGAATGACTGTCCATTTTCAGACTGCAAACAAGAAGTGAGTAATGGTCTTAGCAGCAGATGAGCCAGCCTGTTTGGGTATCATCTGTAGGAGGTCTACATCCTTTCTCTTGTGGAAATAGAATATATTAATACTGGTTTTAGAGCGTTACAAACAAAAGAGACCTGAGAGTATTTCCTGTAGCAATCATGGTAAAGAAGAGCCACAACCAAGAAGAAGAGCACAAAAATGTTTTAAAAGTTCTTTCCTGATGTCAGAATGTGGGAATGGGTTCATAATGCATTTATGCATTTCCTGTGCCTTAGATTGAAAAGCCTTTTTCTTGCATCCAGAAAAGGTTTTCAGAGGCAGGATATATATATATTTTTTTAATAATACACATTGTAGATGTATGTTGAACACTAACCCTTGTTTAAAGGTTGGAAATATATGACTATTTGAAAACCCAGTGGAGTAGTCATAATATGTAGCTTATAGCACTTTAATGCTGTAGTTATGTGCTACTAGCTGAAGATTAAGAGAAAATGACATTAAGCACTGTATTTTGATTCTACAGAGAGGTCAGTTCTTGAGTAGTGTCTATCTTGGAGTACTGACATTGATTTTTCCTGAATGGTCATCAGTCTGTTTTCCGTATCTTGTTTTGTGCTTTTTTGTTTGTTTTTCATTTGTTTCACCAGTCTGTCAGACTTTGAGAGTGAGAATCCAGCAGCCAGGACTACTTATAATTTTGTCCAGCTGTATGACTTCCTTGCAGAAAACTCTTCTGATACTACAGTTTATAATACTGAGTTAGATCTCTGTTTTATTACATGTTAACAATAACCTTGCTATAAAGTAGCATTTTATTAGTGACCTTGTTAAAAAGTGTGTTTTAAAATATTTTATGAGCATGCCATACTGAGAATTAAGTACCCACTCAGTGCACAATATATTGTTGAATTTTGCTGGAAACTCTTCATTTTGTTTATTGTGGACCATCTGCATGGAAGTCATCTCCTTTTCAAGTAAGTTGAAGTTGAAAAAGGCTGAAGCATGCTAGAGCTGCGACGTAAGAATTGTCTGACTTTAAAAGATACAGAGAATTTACCAGTCTCTGTATGTTTCCTAGCGGGTAGGAATGGCGATAGAACAGTTTGTTCCTTTCTTTTCACTCACATTTTCCTGTTTTTCCATAAAGTGTGTTCTGTTTCTATAGGCAAATGAGAGGATTAGAGAGAACCAGGGAAAAGATGACCACATGAGAAAATATCCTGACCTACCGTTGTTCATAATGAATTACCTTTTTTGTTGTTGCATGTATGTAGAACCAAAACCTTAAAAACACAAGAAATACCATCACACAGACAACAACAACAAAACAAATATGAATGCTGACTGCTAGAAGAATTTTGAATAAGTTTTTTGTTTAAAAAAAATAATGATCTGTAGAACTATATATCTGGGCAGAGAAAAATCAAGGCTCAATTGGGTCATTGGTTTCACTGCAGGTTTTGTTGAGCTCCTACAAAGCCCGTTTCAATTTATATTTGGGATAAGCATCTTGTCTTAGTGATCTTTCTTCCTCTCTAAATAAAAAAATAATTTCTGTAGTATGGAGTTCTGTCCTCTCTTAACACCATCCATGTTTACCCTCTTAGCATTTTGGAAGTAATGAGAGTATCTGTAAAGCTCAGTGTAGAGTGAGATTTTGAACTATTTCCAGCAGGTGGAACTAGTGGATGGTTTAAGCATTTCCTTGGCTGGCCTGTCTCTAAGTAGTCCTTAACTGCCATGTATGATATTTACTAGATACGGAACTGTTTCTGGATTATTTTTTTTTTGCAACACAGCTGACAGCTGCTTTTCTTAGCTCACGGCTAACTCTGCGTGTGGGTCAGTCAGTAAGTATTTTGTCACCATGAGCATTTTCATGACCCCTGTGACAGTTGTTTTATGCTTCGGGATAACTTAACACTGGCTGGAAAGCTACATAGCGTGCCAGTATGCCTGTCAGTCTCTGCACTGTATTTCCTGCTGACCTTCCCCCACTGACGTCAGTGAACGGACAACAGCAGGGAATTTGGCCCACTCTCCAAGTGAAGTTATGAACTTACAGCTCTCACATGCTCAAGTTCTATCTTGCTTAAAGGATGGGAAACCTCTGCAGCTTTCCTGAAATTTGGAAGACATAAATTTCCTGTATTTGAAAGACATAAATACACTATCCTTGAGAAATCAGGTTAATTCAGCCCACTTTCTGCCTTAGAAAAAGCAGCAGGTGCAGAGCACAGCAGCCTATGTTCTGCTTGTTTGAGCAGGGATTTGTGCAAAGGCTATAGCATGTCCCTGCTGCATAGCCTGCACTGGCTGCTAATCTGTCTCAGGTGGATTTTGGAGATGTGTATTAACATCCCAAGCTCAGTTATCTGAGAGATGACCTCTGCCTCTTTTGTGTTTCCAAGGCAGTTGAGCTGACAGCCTTTCTGTGGTAAAATGTTCAGCAATCCAGGAAAAGGCAGACCTCAACTGACAGTACAGTTGGTTTGGGACTGCAGTTCCTGTCCTACTATTATAGAGCCTGGATTCAATAAATGTCAGCGTTTTAGTGCAAGCTGGAACGATAATGATCTGTGCAACATCTGCTCTGATGTTAGCCAGAAATAAGGTCTAGTTCTCATCTGAGGTAAGGCAGCCCTCGTTGATTGCTTAGTAAATAAAGATTACTGGTGCTTTCAACACATGAAACAGGATGTTTAAAAGAAACAGAAGACATTTTCTGAACACATACTGCTTGAATAATTGTACTGATTGCAATTGTACTGCAATAACTGCTTGAAATTTTATTGAGAATGAAGCTTGTGAAGTCTAAAAAAAATACCTTCAGCCTGAATATCCAAAAAAAACCATGTAAAACACACTTCCTGTATCAATTGTTGCTTGAAATATTGAATAGATCCAGAATGCTTTCAGGCATGAAACCAGGTTAATTCTTCTGCAGGTAGGTACAAAGAATATTTTCTCGGTTTTGTTTTTTCAGCTAGCACAGCTCAAGCAGCATGGTTACTTATCATTTCAGGCAACAGAGTCAGAAAAGATGAAATATCTTCTAATCCTAGGAAAATGTGGCTGTGTAAACTGTGGTGGCCTAAAATCTGGAAAGACAAAACGACTCTATAAGATAATCAGTGTGGTTTTGTTTTTTTTTTCATAATAGGTAGTGCTTCCTTTTGAAGTCAGTGTAAAAGTTGTTTCTCAGTGTTCAGTTTAACTCTCCTTTTCTTTCTTAACTGTCCAACCAAATCAGTTATGGCTTTCTCTAGCTACCAAAAATACTGGGTTTGTTATTTTCAAATAAAACTACTAATGCTACTAAATAACTAATTACTTGTGTTACCTGATAGTGCTCTGATGAAGATTTTAAATGGAAGTGGCTAAATTACCTAATAAAAAACATCAGCCCTATTAAAAAATAATTTTCTGATATGAAATGCAAACCTGGTTCTTAAGCAACATAATTGCTTAAATAGCATGCAGAGTTGCAGCATGTGTGTCTTTATAATGATAAAAAAGGGCAAATTTTAATGTAGAAGTTGTTAAATAAAAATAAATAAATATAATAAATATTATATTATAATAATATAATAAATAAATAAAAATAAAAAATAAAATAAAAAACAACGTGTTTTAGTTAGCAATCAAGTGGAGCATCTCTTTGGGAACATAACTAAAAACCCAATCACAAAAGTGGATAAATCTATTAGTAAAACCAACATTTCCTGCTCACAGATCTAAATCAGCCATTTCTATCTTTTTCTTTTCTTTTTTTTTTTTTTTAATTTTGCCTAACTTATGTGATTGTGCTTCTGGTTCAGTGGCTCCCTCAAGCTAGAGTGGAAGACAGCATAAGTTTGAATCTGGTTGTTGATGTGCATCTGCTCTAGATCACCCCAGGGATGCAACCCCATACTGATATTGCCTGGTTTGGATCATCCTATGTACTCCCCACTGTTATGTGGGAGAGGTCTTTGCCTGTATCTGCCCAGTGGTTTCTTCACACCAGCCGACCTGAGATAAAGCAGCTTCACACAATGGTAGTCTAAACCCTCCTTGGATATTTGCTGTCATAAGAAAAAATGCAGCTCTGTTGTGTCAGAGCAAAATCAGCCACCCCAGTGGCCTGTCTCTGGCTGTGGTCAGCAGGAGACGTCTCAGGGAAGGAGAATGAGAGCATAAAAACCACAGAGTGATGCAGTCCTAAGGCACCCTCGTAGCCTGCAGCCTTAGGACTTCCTGGAACACGAGAGATTTGCATTTATTAGTCCTGTGGGGATCTTCCTTTATGCATTTTTTGTAGATTGTGGTTTGGATCTTTTTTTTTCTTTCCCTACAGTAGTTTAAATCTGTCATGATTATGTATCTTACTGACAGTTTATTCTTGCTGGAGGAATGACTAAACATTGAGGCCTTGCAAGTTTAGCTGTGATTAAATCACTCACAAAGTGTTTAGATGTTTAACTGCACTTTTCATCCAAATCCTCAATTGAATAAATGGATTAAACTTCTCAATTCCTCTCAAGGTGGTTAAACCTGTCTGGCTTCGTTGTGCATAGAGAAGAAGCTGAAGAGAGTTCAGGTGGTGTGCTGAAAGCAGCGGCATGCAGCAGTGGCAGAGTTTAGGCTGTAACATGGTGTTCAGCTCTGTCAGTAAGCAGCCGCAAGGCTTGTTGTTCAGAACGTCCTAAATGAACGTGCAGTGACTGAAATTTTAAAAAGGTGCATTTATTAGGGCATTTTCTGTAAGTACTGCAAAACATGTTTAAAGTAGAACTGTTGATTCAATTTCTTCATAAATAATCTTTTGTTCCACTGTTTCTCCATATTAGGCCTCTGACTTGGATTGAAGAAAGAGGACCAGGAATGAGACGTGAAAAGAAAATCAATTTCTGTTTCACCAGTGGTTGCCTGGAGAACTTCCCTCAAGCCCCAAGGTCTGCTGTGGGCCTTTTCATGCAGGATCAGAACCTCTTTGCCAAAAAACTGCTGGGACAGGTATCCAAGGAAGAGCTGGCTGCTGAGAAATGGCGAATTTTGCGATGTCTTGACCTTGCTGGGATGATTCAACAGCAGTGTGAGCAGCCAGAGAAAATCTATTCTTGAGGTTGCTCTTCCAAGAAGAACATGGCAGACAGGAAAGCTGTAGGTCTAGTGCTCAGTGTTGCCATCAGGCCATTGTTGTTTCTGCGTTATTACATTCTCTTTGACTGACTGTCATTCCTAGGCTCTCTACGTGGACTGGAGATCCTGGGCTTATGCCCCATGCCTCCTGGTGTTTGCTAGAACAAAGCAACATGTTACCCTGCTTTGATGCACTGCTGTCCTTTCAGGCAGACGGGAACCTAGCAGCAACAAGGTTTCTCGTGGTTGCTTCCAAGCAGTTCAGTTGGTAATGTCCCTGAGGACAGGTCATGGAGAATTACAAATAGGTAACATGATTTTCCTTCTTGAGTATTCTTTCTCTTCTATTTAGATCTATCTGAAAATGAGACATACAGAATTATCTAGAACAAGGCTCTAAATGAGTTTTCGACCTCTCTGCTTGTTCTGCAAAAGTTGTGCCTCCTCAATCCCAACCTTCTTCATCTGGGTACTCTGAATTGGTTTGTGTGTTTGCTCTAATTAGAAGTTGTGCCTGTTTTGTTTTGTGTTTCATGCTGGAAATCATCTACCTTCAAACAGAACCTATAATGGTATCAAACCAGAATAGAAATATCTTGTTTCTGACAGGTGCCAAGTTGAGTTCATTCTTTTTCTCTGATGCCCTATGCCAACACAGAAATGTTTTTCCAGAAGAGATTAAAACAATACGTTAAATTAATACATCACCTGATTACTTTCCCCCCCCTTTTTTTTTTTTTTTTTTTTTTTTTTTTTTACATTAAAAGCATTGTGCTATTGTCTTTCATTTGTGTTCTGCATTCTAATTCAGCATGTGAATGATTCTCACCTAAAAATAATGTATATCCTGATATTAAGAAAAAACTAACTGGTGTTCTCCTGGAAACAGTAAAATTCATTAGAAATAGTGATAAAATTAGAATAAAACTGTAGAAAATAGAGCAACTTGCAAATATAGCCATGCAATTACCAAGTATCACACCTGTGGGGATGGGTGTTTAGCGTTTTATAGTAGTCCCGCGGTCACATATGAAGACGTTATCACTTCCCTAAAGAATTGTTTTATTGGAGAAGAAGCCTGAATGGTGCACAAAACTATTAACAATTTATCTGTTTGCCTTTATTTTCTAATTACAGCATTTGCCTATGCTGTATTAATATAGTAGCAAACTTCAGTCTGCACAGTTCTCCCAAATGCAGAACCATCATCTTTACTATGTTATCATATTGACAATTTTGAATAAGGACTTTGTAGGTTATGGATGTGTATATAACTACGACTATACAATACTGATGAAAAAAGGTTTTCCATTAAGTCAATGGTATTTATTCTCAAGTTAGGTGCAGTTCAGCTAGAGTTTGAACCAGAGAAGGAAGGAAAGGCTGTATTTTTTTTTCCAAATAATTCAGATTTTAGGAGCAACTAGGGCTTGATATGTGAATGAATTCTCCGTACAAAATATGTTTAAGTCTATTATATCTGTTAAAGTAAGTGAAAAGCATTTCAAGTGTTTGAAATCCACGTGTGTCAATAGCAGATATGTGCAGGCAGATCATGTGCTTGTCCACCCAAACAGATCCCTTACTGAGAATTCTCAGGGACTTATTTATGAATGTAATGGACTTTGCTTGGGTGGACCTGATGCTAAGTGAGCGGGAAGGATTTTATCCCAATGGATTCATGGCAAAACACAAGAAGTCCACCTGGATCAAAATGAAATTAAAATCCGCTGTGTATGCGTATCTGCTATGTATGACAGCACACACAATTTCCTGTTTACTGTCAAACTGGTCTGTGAGTCTGGGGTGAATACCACCTGCTAACTGACAGCGGGTAGTCAGGGAGGGACAGCAAAGGGAAGGGAGATTTCACGCTCCCCAGAAGCATCTAAATTAACCACTAAGTCTCCCGGGGGCTGCTCTGTAGTTCCTCATGAGAGCTGTAGTTAGCTGTATTCCTCTAAGGAGTAGAAAATAAGCTCGTGGGAGCACCGTAAAGCAGCAGTATAGCCATTCAGTGAATCGCCATGGAGAAATCTGTTTCTGTAGCAAGCACATGGGGAAATTATCTGGTTATTTTGAACTGGTGGAGTCAGATTCTGGGTATCCTGCACTGTCCTCCACCCCACTGTTCCTCCCAGCGAATCTACTGCACTTGAAAGCCTGGAGCATTCAAACTGCACTGTGTTTTGACACTGTGAATTTGCTGATGTATTGCCATGTTTTGTATACAAGAACTACTGGGTATCAAGCTTCAAATGTATGTATTCCTTAATCAGATGTCAAACTCACCAATAAAAGAACTGGAGTTCTTAATCACTCATTTAGTTCTGTTGTTCTTCATTAGCAATTCCTATTGTCTGTGCTGAAAATCTCTCTGTCCCTATGTGTTCTATTCCCCTTTTCACTCCTTATGCCCTGTGAAGTCCTGCCAGCAACTGCATGCTGTGATCCTTTTCTAAAGCCCACAGCTGTCTCCTTCTCCTGTTTCAGAGTTTTGAATACGAGTGCCCTGGGGTTGGAGACCTTATCTCAACTTGTGATCCCTCCCACAAAATTCCTGCTCCTCTGATCCTAGTCTGCCCCCTGCCCATGAGTGCATGAAAATTTAAATCTCAGCTGGACACTTCCAGCTTTCTATTCAAAAACTGGTGATTTTGAGCACCCTTTTTGAACCTGATAAATATAATCTGAAACATGTTGAAGGAGGTTTCCTTGTGGTTTAATGAGTAGCTTAATACTAGCAGAAAAATTTTCAGAAGAGTTTCTCAGATAGTATTTGGCACAGTCTGAACTAAGCCAGTTTATGGAAGTATGAAAAGCTAAGTATGAGGTATGGCACGGACAAATTGGTATACGTTCTTTGTATCTGTTTTTTTTTTGCTACTTCTGCTGCAACTGTCCCTGCTCCTGTGGCACAGCTGAAGAAGTCCACTGAAGTATGCTTTGTTAACTGCTTAGTGCTGTGGAGTTGGTGCAGAAAATGTTGTATTGTAGAATGTTCCTATGTGAAGGAGGAAGCCTCCTCAAGGCTTGAGCTTTGTCTCTTGCCATTGAGCTGCTAAATTCATTCAACTGAACAGCTCAGCTGAGTTGGTTTGCTCCAAACTCATTTTCAGAGAGTTAGAGGTAAGGGAAATGGAAAATTTCCATGGAGCAAACAATGATATGAGGTCATGCAGAGCTGTGGAGGAAGTTCTCACTCAAGATGTTAGGTCCCTTCAGGCTGACAGCATGGCCTTGAGCCTCACAGTGTACTGGTGAGGGGCCCACAGGGGCAGCCTAGTGGGACAACTGGCTCCGTGTTTCCAGCAGGCTGGAGATCTGTGCACTGTGTTATGTAGTGTGTTCTGGGTAATGTGAATAAAATTTGACACTAAATGTATCCAGAAAAATAATTCAAGATTTTTGACAAAGAAAGTAAGTTCTTTGGGTAGCCTTAAGGGCTAGAAGCTGTTACCTGTAGAGAATGGGTTAAATGAAATTGCAGGTGTCTATTGACAAACCTCTGTTTTTATTCACAGAAGTTATGCAGCACAGGTATGATCAGAGCAAAATTCAGCCCTCACCCAGAAGACAGGAGGTGTCTGTGCACTACACTGTGATTTTGTAGAAAATACCTGAGCCAGCTCTGAATGGCCTCCTCAGGTACTACATGGAGCTGGCTTCTTTGGTAATTGATCTGCACAAATGTGTTGTGTTTCTCAGTGATGTTTGCCCATGCAGACATACAGGTCAGACTGAAGGACGTGGTCAACTCCTGGTCTTCCGCCTAAAACTGCCATCATCAATAATATTTGCTTCCTGTTTGCACTTGTTTGTGGGGCACCAGTAAGAACTGTAGCTTTTGCTTTCCTGCTGACCCATGCTGATTAAAACCAACGCTTTGGAACAGAGGCATAAGGCTCAGGAGGCTTGGGGCTGCCACGTAGCAGTGCTTGTGAAGCTGTGGGAATGCTGCCTGTGTCACAGCTGGCAAAGCTCTGTACTTAGTGCTTCTCTTCCATGTCCTGACAATGCATGCAGCTCACTGGGGCCCACCTGTGTGCAGGTAAATGAGAAAAGAAACCTCAAAACCATAATTGAAGTTCAAAGTACTATAATCAAGAACTTCAAATAATAGCCTGCAAACACAGCTGCTAGCTCTTACAGCAAGTATATATAGCCTGATCTAAGGTAAAGAATTTGTTTAAGTCCTGGTTACTGCTTCAAAACTTCTCCAGAAGTTCATACTCAGAGAATTCTAGGTGGCATTCAGTGTGAGCTGACTTTCTGATTTTGTCACTGCTGCTAATTTTGCAAGCTGCCTACTAATGTTGCTGTTTGCCATACCTCGTGTCATCCTAGTGACTGCCACAGAGCCACCACTTTTCCCTGGTAAAGGTTCCCATACAAAGAGAACAGCAACTGGTCTGTAAAACAACTAGATTGCCTCCATGTCATGAACAACTAGCACAGTAAATCAGGGCTTTCTGATGCTTTAGACACGGCTGTTATTCAAGCAACAGATAAGTAAAAATAATTCTTAAATGTTGTGTTAAATACAAACAGAAAATCAAGAAAAAAACACAGCAGGAATAATGTCCCTTTGTGGATAATGTATCAGGTGGGATATCTGAAAGTCCAGAAACAAAGAAGTAAATTAGAGATTTACTCTAATTTAAAAAAAACTCTGTGTTTGTAGGAAGCAGCGGGTGAACTTTTTTCTTTTTAGTTCTTTTTTCTTTTACATAATTCAAATACAGTCAAGTGTAATTCAAATAATTCACTGAATCTCTGCCTGTGATTTTGGAAGCAGCACAACAATAGTGTTTGGTTTTACTAATTCCTTTGCTATCTTGATGAGTTCTTTGAGAGAAAGCCCAGGGCTGTAAGTACTGTCTTTCATGAGGTACTGGTAACTGATTGGAGTTGTTTGTGCAAGGAATGTGCCTTGTGCAAGAATTTATGGCTGATCTCCTAGGCAGGGTAGGCAGCATTGTCCTTCTACTGCATAGTTCCAAAGGCTACATCTCTCTCTCTCTCTCTATATATATATATTTATACAGGGTCAAATTGCACATTATTGTTCTTTGTAATCTAACCTGTCCCAGTGATGACTTACTGTATTTTCAAAAATACACCATTTTATGGTAAGTTGAAGTGCCTCTTTTATTCTGGTTATCGTTAGCAGTACTTGTAGGTATGAGTTTGCAAAGTATTGGTAGCATTTCAAATGAATGAGGACACTTTTTTAAACGATTTTTCTTTCTGGCACTGGCACAAAATACACACTTCTATAGGAAAGGCCTCAGTTCTGACATTTTCCTATTAATGACTGTACCTACATTTTGACGTAGAATTTTTGCACACTAGTAGTGTTTAATTTCATTCACACAGTGCTAATGTTTAGTTTTTTTCCTTTAACACTGATGAAGTCTGTTTGTGTCCAGAATTTGAATGTTATGGAAACTTCTTTAGGAACTTGTTAAGATTTGGAATTCCAAATGCATTATCACACTGTCTTTACCTTATTTTGTCCTATGGTAGAAAGCCAGTCGACCTAAGCCATGTATGTCACTGTTTCCACACTATATGCCCTGAGCTTTTCTGTTACGCTAGATGCAGTGAACTTGAGCAGAATAGAGTTGTATGTAGTTTCTCATGTACATCTTCCCTCTTGCTGGACATGCTTTTTTGCTTTACACAGTGCAATCCACTTCTGCCGCTAACCTGCTGTATAAATACATTTGCTTCCCTTATAGTGCCGTGTCCTGCTGCTTTGCCTTCACTTCTGTGTGCTCATGAGACTGTTGCTCGTATCTGTTTTTTCAGATACCAGCTTAATTATGTGGCTGTGCACCATAGCACTTCCATATAGTTACAGCATAAGTTTTTCTGTTAAATTATCAGCTCTTAAAGCTTTCTCTACTTTTGATTTTGAGCTTGATTTCATTAGGAATTCATCTTTTAGCCTGTCATCCCATCCTGTTAAGGCACAGCCACCTTACTGTCAGTTATAGCCAGGCTGTACACTCAAGAATCATTTTGGAATGTCCTCTATTTCAGTCGTCAGAGCAGTTCTTTGCAGGGAGATGTCTTCCACAGGAAAACAATGAGTTTTTTTGTTGCTCAGGCAATACACCTATTTTTTTTCTATTTAGCATCATGAGTGATGTGCTCTGCAGCCATCCTTACTTTTTCCCTGGTGCATAGCATTATGGGCACCTCAGTGCAGAAAGGACATAGAGGTGCTGGAGGAGGTCCAAAGAAGGGCAACAAGGCTTGTGAAGGGCTTGGAGAATATGGCCTATGGGGAGAGACTGAAGGAACTGGAGCTGTTTAGTCTGGGGAAGAGGAGGCTGAGGGGAGACCTTATTGCTCACTTCAAATATCTTAAAGGTGCTTACATGAAGAGCGGAGCTGGTCTCTTCTCACTGGTGACAGGATGAAGGGAAATGGCCTCAAGTTGCACCAGGGTAAGTTTAGGTTGTATATCAGGAGACACTTCTTTACAGAAAGGGTTGTTAAGCACTGGAATAGGCTCTCCAGGGAGGTGGTTGAGTCACCATCCCTGGATGTGTTTAAAAACCACTTGGATGGGGTGCTCAGGGACATGGTTTACTGGTGGGTTGTTAGAGTTAGGGTAGTATGTGTAGGTTGTGGTTGGACTTGATGATCTTTAAGATCTTTTCCAACCTGAGCAATTCTATGATTCTATGTGGGCTACATCACCCAACATCTTTGAGACAATCAGGTTTGTTGAGTGCTTCTCTGCAGCCTGTCTCTCTGCAGTTGTAACAGTGTGAAAAAGCATGGCAAGCAATATGTTTCTTCCAATGCTTCACATGAAAAGCCCATTCATATTATCTTCTAGCAGGATGGATTTTATATCCAGCAAGGGCAGAGTAAAGCAAAGAGTTTTCTATATTCTTGTTGCTTGTAAATCCCCTCCAAGCCATTATGCTCTCAGCTCGACTCAGCATGTAGCAGGGCATAACCGTAGTATCTTAGGCTGCAATTTGACATGTCTTCAAGCAGGGCCACCAAACACCCACAGCTTGTCCCTGCCCAGCTGCTTCCATGCATCTGCAATACCCCCATCTTCCACTACTCTTGCCCTACCTGCTGAGGTTCCTCCAAATGCGCAGCACTGCTACTGCTGTGGTCCTGTTCCCAGTACCTCAAGATGCATCTTCTAGATGACTAGTGGGGTGACTGCAACAAGGGCTGAGGAGGGCTGGGAGGGAGGATGCTCAAAATCTGGCCAGCATCTGAAGGGATGGAATCTAGTATGGACAGAGGAGTCAAGAGACCAAACTGT